TAGGTCTTATTAACGTAACGAGTATAGAGGTGACAAGAACTATACCACTTAATGAGATATAGGACTACCTTCACCGAGTACTCTAACGATTAATCGCCCAATTAATTAGCTTAGGGAGCGATATCGTACCGAGCTAAGGGGGTGTGTTAGATATAAGGGTATATTCTAAGTATCTTAGTGTTGTTATTAGATGGCTGGGGCGGAGGCCGGAGGCAGGATATTGAGACTTAGCCGAAATAGGGCTAGGATAGGTTATCTGCCAAGACCCACACAAAAGGGCGCCCTAGATAGAACCTCGGCCAATATACCGAATAATGGACCCATCTCATCTCCAGATTACCGATATTCATTAAATTACTATGTAAATCTGATAGTATAAAGCACTTAAACTATAAAAGTACGTTATAATCTTTCATCTATACTTCTAGGTTATAGATATAATATAAGCCAATTATATAGGTATCTATAGTAACCCTTCTATATTCTAGGTTACCTAGTATTCGTACCACTTATATGCGTTCCCATAGGTGCTTACTATAATCCCATGTAGATGAGCATTACCACCATTCTAAAATATTATGGTTGGTTTCTACCTATATCTACTATAGTGGATTTTCCACTATACCTTATTATTCCTTAGCCTAGTTGTAGGTCCTATGGGCGTTAAACCTAGTAATCTTAACCTTATAACCGTAGTTTAGGGCTTAGTATTAGTCACTTCTATACACCTAACATAGTTCCTATAGAACCCTAGAGGTGACCTCTATATCTATAGTTATTTTCTAGCTCTTAATGGGTAGCGCCTCCTTAAGGTGTCTTAACATTCCATTATTAGAGTTATTTTCGTGTGGGGGCATTGGCGTACTAGGTTAAATAGCCGCTATGGCTATATAAATAACCTTAGCTCATTTACCTCCTATTTTCTTATTTAGGTAATTAGTCTTAAAGTGCCCCTTATCTCTATAAGTTAGGCACGCCTTATCCCTAAAACGCTATTATTAGATA